TGGCCCAGAGCCCAGTGCCAACAGGCTCCGGGGTGAGGCGCGGGGCCGCCGGGGCTCGGGGATTGGACAAGAGACGGACGAAGGCGGAGCTGATGTAAAGCGGCACCGGGCGGGGGTCCTCAGAGAGCGGCCGACTGCTCGCCCTGAGCCTGGCTCTGCTGCACCTGCGCCTGCATCTTCTCCAGCATCTCTTGCATGCGACGCAGCTGTGGGGCAAGATCGCAGGCGGTGGGGCCGGGCGTGGCCGGAGGGCGGCTTCCTCGAAGAGGACTGGGGCTTTGGTCAGTGGGGGAGGGTGCTGGCTCACCTCTTCGTCTTTCTCGCGGATCAGCTTCTCCGTCTCGGCCAGGGGCAGCATGGGCAGCGGGATCTCCGCGGTGCTCCGGCGGGAAAGCTTACTAGGGGGAGGAAAAGGAATAGGAATCAAGGGCGGGACCGAGGCCGGGTCTGGAAGGGGGTTGGACTCTGGGAGGTGGGCTCTTGTCCTTGAGGTTAGGGCCGGAAGCTAGCTGGGTGGGGAAAGACTTGGGGAAAAAGATATGGATGGTGAAGGCGGGGTCAAGGCCGGGTCATGGATGTGGTGAGGGCGAGGCCTGGAAGCACCTGTGAGTCCACTCCGGCTCTCACCTGCGGCTGGCCCGATCGCGAGCCCCAGGCCGGGCCAGGCTCTGTAGACAGCGGGCCCGGTAGCCCTCATACAGCAGATCGTGTGTCACCTCCTTCAGGTCCTGCAGGTGTGTCTGCACCAGCATCCGTCGCAGGTTCAGGAAATCGCAGTGCTGTGGGTTCTCCACTGGGGGACCGACCGTGGGCATCAGGAAGCTTCGGGTCCGGGCCCACCCTCTGGGTAAGGTCTGCCCGAAATCCCACCCCGCTCCTGGGGAGGGTCCACCTCTGCAGCTCAAAGACCTCTCATCTGGCTCCTAGGACCTCCCAGACCAGAGCTCACCCGCCATCACATGTTGGGCGCCATTGACTTGGCGGTGGCCTGGGCCTGCTGGCCTCGGAATGCACGCCCAGCCTTACTCACCCTCCACGGTTCCCCAGGAGTAGCGGCGTCCCCTCACTGGGCGGGTGCCTTTGTCCCTCACTACCTCGCATGAACCGACAACTGCGAAAGGGATGCTTTCCTAGAGGGCGGGAATCAGGGATCACCACTGGCCCCTCAAGGGCAGAAGCTTCTTCCTCAGCTTCCACCTCCACCTCTGCCTCCCCTGCTTCTCAGCCCCTTCCTCCCTTGCCTCTGCACCTTCATCTCGGCATCCTGCCTCTTGAAGTCTTCATCCTCATCCGAGTCACAATCGGGGAACTGGTAGATGTTGATTTCCTCCTCCTTCAACTGGTCCCGGATCTCAGAGGAAACAGATGCAGAGACAGTGAGAATCACAGAGGCTGTGAACAACAGACATTGCATGGCCCAGGCAGATTCAGATACTGACACTTGCCCTAGCTGGTTTGGCTCAGTGGATAGAGCATCAGCCTGGGATTCCAGTCGGCACGTACCTAGGTTACAGGTTTGATCCCTGGCCCTGGTTGGGGCACGGAGGCAACCAATCAATGTTTCTCTGTCTCTCCTCCTCCCACTCTCTCTAAAAGTCAATGGAAAAATATCCTCAAGTGAGGATTAACCAAAAAAATAAAAAGTGCTCAGATACAGACACTGGGTGGTCAGACAGGAAAGACAGATGGTGAGAAATGAACTGAAAGTGCAGCCCTGGGCTGTGTGGCTCAGTTGGTTGAGCATCATCCTGGGCACCGAAAGGTTGAAGGTTTGATTCCCGGTCAGGGCACATGCCCAGGTTTCAGGTTCTGTCCCTGGTCAGGGTGTGTGGAGGAAGCAAGTCATGTTTCTCATGTCAATGTATCTCTCCCTCTCCCTTCTCTCTCTAAAATCAATAAAAAAGAAAAAAGCTCTAGCCAGTTTGGCTCAGTGGATAGAGTGCTAGTCCTCGGACTGAAGGGTCCCAGGTTCAGTTCCGGTCAAGGGCATGTATCTCAGTTACAGGCTCAATCCCCAGCCCTGTGTGGGAGGCAACCAATTGATGTGTCTCTCTCACATCCACCTTTCTCTCTCTCTTTCTCTTCCTGTTTCTTCCACTCTCTAAAAATCAATGGAGCCCTAGCCAGTTTGGCTCAGTGGATAGAGTGTCGACCTGCAAACTGAAGGGTCCCAGGTTCGATTCCAGTGAAGGGCATGTGTCCAGGTTGTGGGCTCAATCCCCAGTGGGGGGCTTGCAGGAGGCAGCCAATCAATGATTCTCTCTCATCATTGATGTTTCTATCTCTCCCTCTTCCTTCCTCTCTGAAACCAATAAAAATATATATATTTTTTTTAAAAACACAAATCTCACACAAGGGAGGGGCATCACACTGAATTTAATAAAAAAATTAAAATAAAAATCAATGGGAAAAATATCCTTGGGTGAGGATTAACAAAAAACAAATAAAAGAAATGAACATAAAATCTCAGAGATAATGGGACAGTCATAGGGTGAAAAGACTGGGACAAAGACACCCTAACAGCCAAGGCAGAGTCCTGGAAAGATTCTAAGATGAGGCAGATTCCAAAATACCCAGAAAGAGACATAGAAGCAGAAACAGTGGGCGCGGGCTCTGAAGACACTGGAGGGTGGGGCGCATCAGGGGTCATCATGTCTATGTTCCTACCCTCAGACAGGCTAGGCATCCAGCCCAGGGGTTCCATTCTGAGCTTCCAGAGACACGGCTCTTTCAGGCAGCTCACTACCTACCTTCCGCAGAAACTCTCTAATAGCATTACACATCATGCTCCAAGAAGTCTACCCCAAGATCAAAGGAGTCAAAGCTGAGTTCAGGCCCTAACCGGTTTGGCTCAGTGGATAGACCATCGGCCTGTGGACTGAAAGGTCCCAGGTTCGATTCCGGTCAAGGGCATGTGCCTTGGTTGCTGGCACATCCCCAGTGGGAGGTGTGCAGGAGGCAGCTGATCGATGTTTTTCTCTCAGAGCCATGTTTCTAACTTTCTATCCCTCTCCCTTCCTCCCTTTAAAAAATCAATAAATTAAAAAAAAAAAAGCGGAGTTCAGGTTTGATCATGACTTTTGGCTTCATGTGGGGCCAAAGGTTAGAAGTCACCACACCCACCTTCTGCTTGAGAGCCTGGGTTTCGCTGGGCATCAGGGCATCTGCTTTGCCAATGACGGGGACGATGTTGACCTTCTCGTGCACCGCCCGGAGGAAGGCCACATCGAGGGGCCGGAGCCTGCACCCAAGGATCGGCCAGGGCTTGGTCTCAGGATATAGAGTCACCTCCCAAGCCCTCCCCAAATGCCCAACCCCCAGGGCGGCCCTCAGACCCCCGGCCAAAGGGTGAGATGAAGTAGAGGCAGCAGTGGACACGGGAATCCTGGATGTTCTTCCGGTTCAGGCCACTCTCATCCCTAAGATACTGCTCAAATTGCTCCTCAATGAAGCGCACCACGGGCAGCCAGCTGGGATGCGGGGAGGGGAGAGAGCATGTGGTGGGAGATCAGGGGTCACATGGCAGGGAAGGGGGCAAGACTCGCCAGGACTGTGGGGGTGGGAAGTAGTTTCTTTGTCTCCAACCAAAGAAATCAAGAAACTGGCAGGGTCATAAGTGAGATGTCGGGAAGTACAGGGCACTTGGGGGCACACAGCCACCAGAAATGCCTCCCACCTTTCAGTCAGGGTGGGTGGGAGGCCAGGGCAGGCCAGCCCTGTCACTGACCCCTCAGTTTCCACCAAGTAGCCGGCCATATTGGGAGACTATCCCTCATTCCCTCCCCCGCTCCTCACCAGTCTGAGCAATCCACCGAGTCCCCAAAGCCAGGTGTGTCCACCAAGGTCAGCTTCACCTTAATACCCCCCTCCTCGATCTCCACGCCCCGACGCTCAATAGTCAGCGTTTGTGTCAAGCGAGCTATGGGTACGGGAAGAGATCAGGGAACTGGGTAGGGGTCTGAGGCAGGACTAGTTTCCTTTCTCAGTATCACAATTGCCCCCACCTATTTTTTTTAGGGGAAGAAGCCGTAAGCTGCCCGAGTCCCCCAGAAAGTCATGGGAGAGCAGATGGAAAGGAAGATAATGTAGCCTGGGGAGATAGGAGGGGGTAGAGTGCCTGGAGAGGATGGGGAGGGTCTTACCGCTGGCCTCTGGCAGTTGCCGATCCTCATAGAGGTTGGTGAGAAACAGGCTGTTGATGAGGGTGGATTTCCCCAGGCCTGACTCCCCTGTGGACAGGACAGGCCCCGTTGGTCAGGTCAGAGGACAGCCAGGGTCTCTTGAGGACCCACCGCCTCCAAAACCCCCAGACCTGCCACCATGAGTGTGAAGTCAAACCCCTTCTTGATGGACTTGCGGTGCAGCTGGTTGGGAAGGGCTGCGAAACCCACATACTCCTTGTCCTGTTGGTGGGGGGCAGACAATATAAGGCTGCTGGGAGCAGCAGACGGGGCCCCCAGTATAACCTGATCTCAAGGGCTAGAAGTCAGCCTGCTGTGGGTTGACCTGGGCCTGGCTGCCCTGGCGGTTGGGGCCTGGGGACCTGGATTCTTAGGCATAAGGACTCACCATGGCCCCCGTCGCTGTTGCTGTACCTGCTGTCTCTCCCCACTTCCTCTGGTGAGGCAGGAAGTTGAGTGCAGCAAACAAGGGGGCGGGCAATGTAGGAAGCTGAGATGCTTAACTGGCCCCGAGAGGTGGGGAAAGCCAAGACCAAGAACACCTGGGGTCCTCACCATCTGGATCCCTCTGCCCATCACCCCTACGGGAAGCTCGAACCCCTCTGTCCTTTGCACACCTTTCTCCCAAGTGCCATTGTCTGGTGCATCACCCTGGTGGGAGGTGGAGTGTAGGCGGAGAGGAAGGAAGCAGGTTGGTCTGTCTAGCAGTGAGATGAAGGCTTTGACAGGGATGGTTAAAAAAAAAAAAAAATCCTCGGTCTAAGTGATAAAACCCATGAAAGGACTGGAGGTGGGAGGGGCCGTCATTTTTTCTCACCAGCTCATACAGTGGATTTTTTTTCTTTAAATGCAATGGACTCTTAAAAAGACTACAGGCCATTGGACAACCGCCAGAGAGACCTTCCTTAGAATCCTGGCCAAGGCATCCCCTGCTTGAAACTCTTCCAGGGTTCCCCAGCGAGCTCAGAACCAAGTCCGATTTCTGACCCGGCAGCAAAGCCTTCCCCATCCGGCCTCATCACGCCTTTACTCTCCCTTCGCAAGGGCCCACATCCTTGACCCTGCCCATACCGAGCTTTTCCTTTTTTTTGCATCAGGTGAACTCTTCATCCTTCAAGGATTTGATTAAAAGGGCTCTTCCTCCTCTGAAATCTTCCCCAACTTACCCTAGGCAGAGTCATTTTCCCTCCTCTGGACTTCCCAGCACCTGTAACAGGCCCCTCCAATGACCACATTTGCTTACCTGGATGTCTCTTCTATTCATGGCTGGGCTTTCTAAGGGCAGGGACCATGTTTCCCTAATTTCTATATCCTCCGTGTCTTACACAAGGACTGGCACACAGAAAGTGCCAATAAAACTCAGAAAGAACTTCTATGCGGACCTAGGCAAGTCATTTGGCCTCTCTGCACTCCGTTTTCCTAATGTAAAATGAAATACACGCATTTCCACTTTATCAGGACTCAATGGTTTCAGATTACATGAACTTTGGAGTCAATCAGTTATATATCAATTGACCTTAGCATTTATGAACTGAGTGACTTCTCTGAGCCATTTTTTAAAAAATTATTTTATTTATTTATTTATTTTTAAAATATATCTTTATTGATTTCAGAGGGGAAGGGAGAGGGAGATAGAAACATCAATGATGAGAATCACTGGCTACCTCCTGCATGCCCCCTACTGGGGCTTGAGCCAGCAACCCGGGCATATGCCCTTGATCAGAATTGAACCCAGGACTCTTCAGTCCACAGGCCTAGGCTCTATCCACTGAGCCAAACCAGGTAGGGTTCTGAGACTTTTTTTTAAAAGATTTTTTTCTTGAGTTTTATTTTTTAAAAGACTTTTAGAGTGAGAGGAATGGAGAGAGAGAGAGTGAAACATCCATGTGAAACATTGATCAATTGCCTCCTGCACAACCCCTTCTCCCCCTATCAAGCCAGAAACCGGTAACCCAGGCATGTGCCCTGACCTGGAATTGAACCTGATAGACTCACCTTTCCCTGGAATGTGATTACTAAACCCACCTGTCCCTGGAATGGCGATGACTTACTGTAAATGTGATGTGGCCCCAACCCAGAAGGAGCACCTTGTATGGACATATACATTGACTAACCAACCAGCTCTCACCAAGTACCCCAAGCCCTCCTGCCTTCCTCATTCTCCTTAAATAAGAGTTCTTATTGCTGCACGAGCTGCTGCTCTCTCTTTGCGAGACAGCCCGGCAGGTCTTTCCTCTAATAATAAAGCCTATGTCACCTGTTTTTTTCGGCCTCCAACTGATCTTTCAGAACCAGCAAGCAACCTTTAAGTGCACAGGAGGATGCTCAACCAACCAAGCCACACAGACCAGGGCATCTCTGAGCCTTTAAAGCTAGTCTCCTTGCCCTGGCCAGTGTGGCAAAGTGGGTTTTTGTAGATTCGGGCCTGCACACTGAAGGATCGCAGGTTTGATTCCCAGTCAAGGGCAGGCACGTACTTGGGCTCCCCGCCCCCTGGACAGGGCACGTTGGGGAGGTAGCCAGTCCATGGTCTCTCTCACATCGATGTTTCACACTCTCCCCCTCCCTCCTTCCCTTCTATTTTCTCTGAAAAAGCAATGGGAAAATATCCTCAGGTGAGGATTAACAACAACAATAAAAAAACAAGCATAAAAAAAAGAAAAGAAAAGCTAGCTTAGCCGGCATGGCTCAGTGGTTGAGCGTCGACCTAAAAACCAGGAGGTCATGGTTCGATTCCCAGTCCAGGCATATGCCTGGTTGCTGGCTGGATCCATCACCATCATTGATATTTCTCTCTCTCTCTCTCTCTCTTTCTCTCTCCCTCTCTCTGAAATCAATGAAAAACTAAAAAAGCTAGTCTCCTTATTATGCCTTGTAAGGGCCTGCTTGATCTGGATCCAGCCCATTTTCTTTCTCCACTTCTTATGGTTTTATTATGTCCCTTTTAGCCCATGTTATGGACTGACTTGTGTTTCTCAAAAATTCATGTGTGGGAACCCTAACCCCAATGTGACTGTATTGGAGATAGGGCCTTTAAGGAGGTAATCAAGGTGAAATGAGGTCATAAGTGTGATCTGGTAGGTCTGGGGTCATAAGAAGAGATACCACTGCTCTCTCTCTGCAGAGAGGAAACACCATGTAAGGACCAGTGAGAAGACGGCAATCTACAGCCTCTGGAGAGAGGCCTCACCAGAAACCAACCCTGCTGGCACCTTGAATTTGGACTTCCAATCTCTAGAACTATGGGAAAATAAATGTCTATTTAAGATTGTGGCATTCTGTTATGGCAGCCTGAGCAGATTAATACAGCCTATAGCTCAATCCTTTCCCCTCTTCACTCTAATGAGTTTAATGTGTAATTTTTGTATTTGTATAAATTTTGAAATATGTGTACAATACAGTACATTTTTTATTTTATTATTATTTATTTTAGAGAGAGAAACATCAATGTGAGAGAGGAACATCTATCAGTTGTTTCCTGCACACACCCCAACCCACAACCTGGGTAAATGCCCTGATGGGGAATCAAATTCTCCTTTTGGTGTACAGATGATGCTCCAACCAACTGAGCCACACCAGCTAGGGCTAGTATACAGTATAAATTTATACAAATGGTTTTATATATATATTTGAATACATTTCTGTGAATTTTTTCATTCAGCACTGTTTTTATTTTTTTTTTCCTTTTTTTAAAATATATTTCACTGATTTTTTACAGAGAGGAAGGGAGAAGGATAGAGAGTTAGAAACATCGATGAGAGAGAAACATCAACCAGCTGCCTCCCGCACACCTCCCACTGGGGATGCGCCCGCAACCAAGGCACATGCCCTTGACCGGAATCAAACCCGGGACCTTTCAGTCCGCAGGCCGACGCTCTATCCACTGAGCCAAACCGGTTTGGCACAGCACTATTTTTAAAAAATATATCTTATTGATTTTGTACAGAGAGGAAGGGAAAGGGATAGAGAGAAACATCGATGAGAGAGAAATATCGATCAGCTGCCTCCTGCACACTCCCCACTGGGGATGTGCCTGCAACCAAGGTACATGCCCTTAACCAGAATTGAACCTGGGACCCTTCAGTCTGCAGGCAGACGCTCTATCCACTGAACCAAACCGGTCAGGGCTCAGCACTATTTTTTAAAATATATTTTTATTGATTTCAGAGAGGAAGGGAGAGGAAGAGAGAGGCAGAAACATCAATGATGAGAGAGAATCATTGATCAGCTGTCTCCTGCACACCCCACACTGGGGATCGAGCCCGCAACCCGGGCATGTGCCCTGACCAGGAATCAAACCTCAATCTCCTGGTTCATAGGTCGATGTTCAACCACTGAGCCACGCCGGCCGGGCAATTCAGCGCTATTTTGAAGATTTATCCATGTTGCCATGTGTATATCTTATCCTTACTTCAACTTCGTTTTTAGTATTGTTCCCCTCATGTGACCTTGGGAAAAACCACCTCTCTGAGTCTCACTTTCCTCATCTATCAAATGGGTTTGGAAGCTCCTGCCACACTGAATTCACAGAAGTTGTGCAAACTTCACATGATTATGGAGACATTAAGAGTGTCAGCTTACTAGTTGTGTGACCATGGCATTTTACTTTAACCTCTCTGTGACTTAGTTTCTTTTTATTTATTTTATTTTTTTTTGAAGATGGTGTAGCAAAGGTGGAGATTTATTGAAGAACAAGTACAGACCCCCAAGTGGGGAGGAGGAAAGAGTCCCCTGACTTAGTTTCTTTATCTGTTAAATGGCACCATCAACAAATTCTACCTGATAGGGTCATGATGAAGATTATATGATCTAATACACAAAAAGCTGTTAGTACCGTGCCTGGCAGATGAGATGAGCCCGCGCAGAATGCTAGTATTGTTATGGAATGAGCTGGGGGTGTGACAGTGCCACCAGTTCACATCTAGTGGGTTCTTGTAGATTCGTTGCTGAGGATCCAAACAGAGTGAATCAGTCAGGGTTACTTACGGTCCTCTGGGGAGACAGAAATAGCCAAAAGTGTGACAGCACTGATGCTAAAGTAGTGTAAGAGGGATAAACAGTCCTTCCAGAAGCCAAGGGAAGGGAAAATGCTCCTCTCCCTTCACCACAATCCTTCCTCCTTGCTCATCAGGCTGAGCAGCCCTGAGTCAGTTAAAACTGAACTCCTCCCACCCTTGCTCTCCACGGGATATATCCAGTGGGTGTCCAAGTGCTTCCTATCAATCAGAAAAATTGGTCCCCTTCTTTCTATACCTCTACCCTCTTGCTCCTGCTCTAGTTTCAGACTCTGATCAGCTCTTCCCTGAGTTATTCAGCAACCTTTAAGACAATAACATGGGCCTGGCTGGCATGGTTCAGTGGTTATTGACCTATGAACTATGAGGTCACGGTTCAATTCCCAGTCAGGGCACATACCTGGGTTGCGGGCTCAATCCCCAGTGTGGGGTGTGTAGGAGGCAGCCGATCAATGATTCTCTCTCATCACTGATGTTTCTATCTCTCCCTCTCCCTTCCTCTCTGAAATCAAAATATATTTAAAATAACGTAAAATAAACATGTATATTCATTTATTGTATAACCAACACATATTCTCATAGAAAAATTTTAAAAATGCAAATAGATTAGAAAAATTTACATCTAATATCACTACTATTAAGCCTTTTTATCTTTCTAGATTTTCTCCTATGCCTATACATATTAATATATATTTACAAAAATAGGATCATACTGTAACTTTGTTTGGAAGCCTGTTTCTGTC